CTTTGTTTTCTTGATGTTGAGATGTAATCCATATTGAAGGCTATAAATCCTCGACCTTCTGCAGCAAGTGTTTAAGTCCTCCTCACTTTGAGTAAACAAGGTTTTGTCACCTGCATACCACAGCTGTTGATGAATCTTCCTCCCGTCCTGATGCCACATTCCTTTTCATAGAGTCCAGCTCCATGAATTATTTGTTCAACATACAGACTGAATAAATATGGAGATAGGATACTTCCTGGATGCACATCTTTCCTGATTTTAAAGCATGCAGTGTTCCCTTGCTCTATTTGGATAATAGCTTCTTATTCTATATATAAATTTCATATAAGCACAATTAGAAGTTCTAGGGTTCTAGTCTTCTCAATGTTAGCCATAGTTTGTTATTATCCACACAGTCAAATGCCTTTACGTAGTCAGTAAAACACAGATAGACATTCTTCTGGTATTCTCTGCTTTCGGCCAGGTTTCATCTGACATCAGCAATATCCATGGTGCCACAGTCTCTTCTAAACCCTGGCTGAACGTCTAGCAGTTCTCTGTATATGTACTGTTCTAGTAATGTTTTTAATGATCTTCCACAATTTTGTGCTTGCATGTGATATAAATAATTTCCAGCATTCTGTTGGATCACATTTCTTAAAAACAGGAACAGATAGGGATCTCTTCCAGTCAGTGGGCCAGGCAGATATCCTCCAAATTCCTTGGTGTAGACTGGTGAGCACATCCAGGATTGCATCTGTTAGTTGAAATTTGTCAATAGATATGCCATCAGTTCCTGGAGCCTTATTTTTTCTAATACCTTCAACACAAGTTGAACCTCTTCTGTTATTCTCTTGACTCTTGTCTATATGGTACTTCCTGAAAATTTCCCATGTTGACTAATTAATTTCAGTACAGTGCTCTGTGTATTCCTCCAATCTTTTTTGATGTTTTTGAATCATTCAAGATTTTACCCATATATCTCTCAATATTGCAACTCAAGCCTAGAAGTTGTTTTTCAGTTCTTTCAGCTTGAGAAATGCTGAGTGAATTTTTTCCTTTTTAGTCTCTAACTCAAGCTCTTTGCACATTTCAATATAATATTTTGTTTTCTTTTTGAAATCTATTCATCTCTTTTACCTCAGTATCTCTTCCCTTTGTCCTGGCTTCTTGATGCTCTAATGCAATTTTTATTGTCTCTCCTGATATCCGTTTAGATGTTTTTCTTTCACCTCTGTCTTTGTAATGTCCTTTTTCTCTCTTCATGGATGATATCTTTGATGTCATCCCACTGCTCATCTGGTTTTCAATCATTTAGTGTTCAGTGCTTCAAACCCATTCTTGAGATGATTTATTTTTTTAATTCAGGTGAGATAAAGTCAAGACTGGATTTTGGTACTTGTGCAATTGTTACATTTTCTTCAGCTTCAATTTGAATTTGCACATGAGTAATTGATGGTCTGTTCCACAGTCAACACCTCACCTGGTATTAACTGCCAATATTCAACTGCTCCAGAAACTCTTACACATTGTTGGTGGGATTGTGAAATGGTACAACCCCTCAGGAAGGCAGTTTGGCATTTCCTCAAAAAGCTAAACATAGAAATTCCATATGACCCACTGCTTAAAATATACCCTGAGAAAATGAGAACTGAGGCATAAACAGAAACTTGTACATCTATATTCATAGCAGCGTTATTCCCCATAGCAAGAACAGGGAATAGCTTAAATGTCCATCCACAATGGAATGGATTGAGAAATTATGGTACATTCGCACACAGGAGCAATGAGTTTGTAATTACTACCAAACTTGAGAGGGGCTGGAGAGCATTATGCTGAGTAAATTATCTCAGTCCCATAAGGACAAAGACCATTATTGTAGAACATGTTATGAAGATTCAAGGTGGCTGGTAGGGGATCAGAGGGGTGAGGTTGGGCAGCGAGCAGTGGGAGAAAGGGGCTTAATCACAGGGTTGCACAATTTGATGAGTGGAGGGTCAAAGGATGGGCAAATGAAAGGGTCTGAAATGTGGGTGAGTCGGTGTTCTATACCACGCCCTGGGTGCTCCCTGCCCCAGTGAGAGAGCTCTGTGAACTGCGGATGAAAAATGAGCTTGTCAATGCTGAGTATGCTTCATATGGTACACATCGGAGCCACTGCCACCTCACCCCACTCTTGGAAAAAAAATAATAAATGCTCCAGAAACAAACAAAAATTTTAAAAATCCATTGCTCCAACAATTCTTTGCACAGATGTAGTCAATCTAATTCCTTTGCAGTCCATCAGGTGAGGTTCGTGTCTAATGTCACCTTTTGAGTTCTTTTAAAGTATTTTTTTATGAAAAAATCATTATACAAATTCGGTAACTTGATTTCTAGCATCATATAAGTCACCAAGAATATACTTTCCAATCATCATTCCTTCCTTCTTGTTTCCAACTTTTGCATTCCAGCTACCAAATTAATGTATCTTGATTATACGTTTGGTCAATACAGACAAATGGAAAATATTCACAAATGAAATGGATGGTATCTATAGACTTATTATTCCAGTGGTTGAAATTTTCATTCTTTTGCATGAGTACTACCCATTTCTCCAACCTCATCCTCATAATAATAAATTCACTCATTGTAGTCAAGTTTGAAGCAATTTAAAGCTGATTTTTTCAGTTGGTTTGGAGGCTGTAAATCACCTGCTAGGATACTGCCCATCTTCCTCCCTCACAGCTGCTGGTGGAGTCAAACCAGTGCTTCCGGTTAGCAGCACAACTCTCTAAGGACTACATTGCCAGAGTTTTCTCATACATATTGATATAGTTGGTTAGATCAGTAGTTAGTGATTCTATTATGATACACTGATGAATGGGTTTTATCCACTTTTCCTATAGTGGTTAATGACTCAGAATATTGAATAGGCAACACTATACTATAAACTTAATATGACATTACTAGGCAATGTAGCATAGATGCTACCCTCTTCCTACACGAAAATTAGTTGTGATGTTGGAAAGTCAACTTTGATACTTTTTTTCTCATCTCTAATATAGGTGTAATACCTGCTCCGTTTTTCTCACAGATTCCTGTTAGTAAAGAATGAGACACTGAATATGAAATAATCTTTATAAACTATAAATGTAAGTGAAATAAAAGGCAAAATAACTATTAGAACAACGTTTCCACATTTTCTGACCCTGAAACACGAGTCTTCTTTCATTTGACTGAATGACTTCAGGAAATATTTTCATACTTGAGATGACTGTTTTCTAATTTGTAATACAAAGTTTTGGATAATTATATGTTTGCATACTTAAGCAATTTAGTTAACTATAAAACTAAGTGTGTAAAAGAAAAAGCTTAAGACAATCTCAACCTTCAAACTGGTTTTATTTCTAAATTATTTTAAAGCTATCCATTCGGAGCTAGCAGGCATAATCCTTAGAGTGCCTGGCAGTTAAAAAAGCCATGCCATCTCTTCTCTGGTAATTGGTGTCCAGCAATGGCTCCCCAAGAGAAAGATGGGGCCATCTCCTCCCGTTAAGATTTATAGCCTTGAAAACCCAAGGAGGGTCATTACGAGTCACAACCAACTCTGAAACAGTATTGACCCTGCATAATAGGAGTAGTAATGTATAATAGGAAGCTGCTAAAGCAACAGGTTTCTTTAAGACATAGGACACTAAAGTTGGAATGCAATCATGTGGCAGGTTTAGTAATAACCTGATTGATAACTATGATAAACTAAGTGTCTGCTGAGAATAGTTTGGTGCTCGCTGGAAAGTGATGCCCAGGGAATGATGGAAGGTTTTGGAAGGCTTTGCATGTCTGGAAGGTTTTGCAAAGGAAATTACTTCACTTTCTCACATTGACAACCCTCTCGCCAGGGCTGACACGTGATCCCCCGGCCCCTCGCCGCCCCCGCCACCCCCCAGGGCCTTCGGCTTCCCAGCGTGCTTTGCGCCACTCTTGGCGGGAAAGGTTACGACGTAACGTACGCATGCGGAGGCGCCCCCGCGGGCGACCGTTGAGAACTGCGCCTGCGCGCCGGCGGAAGCCCGCGCCGCCTCGAGCTGCTTTCTTAGGCGCTGGAGTCGGGCACCTCCACATTCCGTAATAATTATACTGCATACCTGGAATATTCTTTGCTTTTTAACCTCTGTTCCTGTCATTTCTTGATTAGTTTTATGTTTTTTTAACTTTTCATAGAAAAAAAAAATCTTTTGAGGAAGAGTCTTTTCTTAGGAGGTTCTTCAGAATAGGTCAAGGCTGGCATCTAGTCCGGGTCTCACGAGAGTAGATTTATACATTTACCTTAAATAGACCCTTCTAGGAAGTTTAGTGCTTTTTTGAATTTTTCTAGTTACACTGCTTGAGTAAGAATAAAAAAAGAACTTTGGGTTTAAAATAGTTGAAACCTGCGTCGATATAACCCCCTCCTTGTCGTGCGCTTGTTAGCGATCATAGACATCAAAATACCAAAATTCTGTGAGAGAGTTAAGAAACACAAAAATATTTTATGTTGTCCTTTAGGGTTGTTACTCATTATAAAAAGATGTTTTGTCTGGAGCTTGCTAAAGTTCGGTGAAGGAGATTTACCTGATTTAGGTCTTCTCAAACTATACCTTTTAGAAGGATTTATTAAAAGCTTATTTTAAAAGGAATTGAAGAAGATAGTTGTTCATTACTCAATATCTTCTGGCAAAATGTTGTTAGTACTTAAATCCTATAAAATGAAAAAAGGAAAGTTTATGCCCTTTTAAAAAGCACTGAGTTTTACACAGTTCTAAATGGGAAAATTTCGTTCTTAATCTTTCATATGTGGCATACGTGTGGTTTACAATTAAGGTGTTAATTGAAATAGTTGTATAGCCATATGAACCTCTCCTTAAAATATTCCATTTGATTTATGGAAAAATTTTAATTTATTCACATAATATTCTGATTTGTAAACTAGAATGTTAAGAAGAAAACTAAGTTAATAACATATTTGTGTCACAAGGTTTAATTTAAGAAAATAACAGAAGATGGCCACTGCACAGTTACAGAGAACTTCCCTGGTATGACTCTCTTCATTGTTTACAAAGAATTTTTACATTAATTAATTTTGTTATTCTTATATTCTCAAGTATTTTACTTTTATATTTCAAAGTTAGAGTTAACTGAGGGTTTAAGAAGAGCAGAAAACTGTATGTTTTGAGAAATGGTGTTTGGCAATTTCTTTAGAATGAATTAATTCTATTGGACTTTTGAAAGAATACACACGTTTGTCTTTGAGGAAGTACAACTAAGGTCCTCCGTAAAGGCAAGGGCAGTGAAACTGTCTCACGCATGTTGTCAGGAGGGGCCATTCTTTGGCAAAAAACATAATGGGAAGATGGAGGGTCAGAGAAATAGAGGAGGACCCTAAACAAAATGAATTTATTAATAAGGTGTCTGTAATAGACTAGAGGATATCAGAGATCTTGAGGATGGCACAATATAGGGCCAGACTCAAATCTGTTCATAAGATCACTATGAGTCAAAGTCAGCTCAGTGATACCTAACAACATTGTATGTTTGATGCTTTGGACTAAATCCCTGTTTTAAATTGTATCTATATTGCTGTTGTTGGGTACGCTCTAGTAATGAAATTGGGTTTTATTACTTTAATGTGATAATTATTCAGAGCAGTCTATACCTAGTAAATTAATATCCATACCTCAGAGTCAAGGATAAAATTGCCGTCTTTGCATAGGATCATACCTGTGTAAAGCTTATCCAGTGGCAAAAAAGAAAATCAATGTTCTTTCTCAGTGTGTTTTCTATTTTCACAAACATCCAATGGAATTGCACTTTTCACACGTTAACTTTAGGCTGCTCCCCTAGAAAACACGCCCACGTTTTATTTTAAAAAAACCTTTTTTGTACGTGTACCATCAAATCCGACCAGACTGGTACAAGGAGGAGATTATCCCTCCTTCTCCAGCAGAACATCTGGTGGATTCAAACCGTTCACCTCTGGGAATACAGTTCAGCTTCTTGCCACTAGGCCGCCAGAGCTCCCTTACACCTCCACATTTTAGAAGCCACACCTACTTCTTGGAAATTACTAATCACTAGTGAAGGGTATTCTTCTGGAAAGTACCATGATTTTATACAAAATTGGATTTAAGTTCAGGAAAACAAAAATCTTCTAATGTCAATAAAATATTTTCATTTCTCTTTAATTTTAGAGTTCATTGATGTTTCCCAATAAAGTAACAACTGAGCAGCAATCTCTGATGTTAGTAAAGAGGCTCTTAGCAGTTTCAGTATCCTGTATCACGTATTTGAGAGGAATATTTCCAGAATGTGCATATGGGACAAGATATTTAGATGGTAAGGTAATATTTTTCAACCTTATTTTTAGATGCTTTTATTTATGCTTTAAGTTTTTGTTTATATTACACCACAGCAAGTTAAAGGTAAATAATCCAATAGAAAAATGGGCACGGGATATGAACAGACACTTCCCCGAAGAAGACATTCTAGTGGCTAACAAGCACATGAAGAAATGTTCAAAATCCCTAGCTGTAAGGGAGATGCAAATCAAAACAACTATGAGATGTCATCTCACCCCAGTCAGAATAGCAAAATTTAACAGAACAGTGAGCAACAGATGCTGGTTAGGTTGTGGAGAAACTGGAACCCTTAACGTTGGTGGGAGTGTAAAATGGTGCAACCACTGTGGAAGGCAGTATGGCGCTTTCTCAAAAAGTTGCAAATAGGCGAGCTCTGGTGGCCTAGTGGTGGGAAGCTGCACTGCAATCTGAGAGGTGCCGGGTCTGAATCCAGTCCACCAAATGCTCTGCTGGAGAGGGAGGGACAATCTCCTCCTGTATCACTCAGATCTGATTTTACTGTACACACAAAAAAATAAAAATTTTTAAAAAAAGTTGCAAATAGAAATACTACTTAACCCAGCAATTCCAGTACTGGAAATATACCCCAAAGAGACCATAACTGACATCCAAGCAGATATATGCACACCCATGTTTATTGCGGCTTTGTTCACAATAGCAAAGAGTTAGAAACAACCTAAGTGCCCATCAACAAATGAATGAATAGAGAAGCTGTGGTATAGTCACACAATGGAATACTATGCTGCATTGAAAAATAAGGAACTCATGCAATATTATTAAAAATGGATGACCTTGGAGGACATTATGCTGAGTGAAGTATCTCAGTCACAAAAGGACAAAAACTGCATGGTGCCACTGTTGTAAAACAGGACTGATATCAGGGCTTGGGGGAGACTGAAAAGGATGGATTCAATAATGTGTACTGCATTGAAACAGATGAGGGAGAAAACTGCTTAAGAGGGAAAAATATTAGGTATTTTTGCCATGACAGGAATCCAGAGTGAAGGTTGTATAATGGAGTGGACCTGCGAGGAGGAATTGTAAAACAATGAAAGAATTTTTCTTTTACTTTTCCAAGAGGGTAGTGTTCTAGGAGGGGAGGAAAATGTAACAATGAATGAATGGAAATCCAAAGTCTCTGTAAATTTTCATTGAAATTAATAATTTTAAAAAATTTAAAAAAATAACTTCTGAGGATTAGGTTCCATAACCATATTCTAAGATTATGGAATAATGATGGAATGAAAAGATCATATCCAATTTTATATATTCAACAGAGTTTTAAAATTATGTTTTTGTACTCATCAATATATATCTTAATCATTATGAAGCCATTTTGCAATGAGAGTAAAATATTATTTATCTACACCCTTTTAGAAGCTATCAGACAATAACAATATCACACGCAAGCATAATACTGCTGAAGATCATTCAAAAATAGCTGTAACAGTAAATAAATAGGGAACTGTCAGAAGTTCAAGCAGTAGTTAAAAGAAGCCATGGTACCAGGGGTATCATTGCTGATGTCAGATGGATCCTGGCTGAAAGTAAAGAATATCAGAAGAATGTCTGTTTATGCTTTATTAACTATGCAAAAGGCATTTGACAAAGCCATAACAAGTTGTGACTGACATTAAGAATGGGAATCCCAGAGCCATTAATTGTGCTCATACAAAACCTCTACTTAGACCAGGAGACTTTTGTGCAGACAGAGTAAGGGAACCACTACATGGTTTAAAATTAAGAAGGGAGTGTGTCAGGGTTGTATTTTCTCTCCATACCATATTCAGTCTGTATGCTGACAAATTATTCAAGAAGCTGGACTCTATGAATGTGACATCAGGATCGGAAGAAGACTCATCAGTAACCTGTGTTATGCACATGCTACAATCTTGATTGCTAAAAGTGAGAAGGACTTGAAGCACTTGTTGCAGAAGATCAAAGAATACAACCTTCAATATAAATTGCATTTCACCATAAAGAAAACAGAGATTCTTAACCACTGGACCAGTAGGCAACATCATGATAAATGGAGAAAAGATTGAAACTGTCAACAATCTCATCTTCACTTGGATCCACAGTCAACACTCATGGTACCAACAAACAGAAAATTAGGAGACATACTGCATTGGGAAAGTGAGGAGTAATAATGTCAACTTGAGGGCTAAGGTTTTTCTAATTCGGGCCATGGTCTTTCCAATCACTTCCTAAGCATCTGAGAGCTGGACAATGAATAAGACAGAAGAAAAATTGATGCCTTTGAGCTGTGGCCTTGGAGAAGAGTACTGAACATCCCATGGACTACCAAAAGAACAAACTGTCTTGGAGAGGTTCCAACCAGAGTACTATTTGGACACAAGGATGATAAAGCTTCACCTCACATACTATGGGCATGTTGCTAGGAGGGGATAATCTTTGGAGAGGGATATGATGCCCAGAAAGGCAGAGGGTTGGGAAAAGAGAGGAAGACCCTTGACCAGGTAGATTTACACAGTGTCTGACCCAGTGGGCTCTCATATGTCCAGAAGTGTGAGAATGGTACAGGATAAGACAGGGTTCAGATCTGATGCTCATGGGGTGGCTATGGATGGTACTCAATCCAATGGCACCTAACAACAACAAAATACATCCTTTATATATACCAGTCATCTGGAAATTTTTTGCCATTAATAAAATAATTAACAACATACAGCTTGTCTGAGGGAGGAAAAAAATGGGCAGTCTCTTCCCATGCCATTAAAAACCTGATAGAAGATCAGCTATGAGTCAGTTTTGATTTAAGTAGCACATAACAGAAACAGTGCAACTGAAAAAGAGTATTCATTTAAGATTTCTAGTTACTGTGCTTAACTACTATGTTTTGAGATTATCTGCATATCACTATTTTTGTGTTTAGATCTTTGTGTCAAAATTCTGAAAGAAGATAAAAATTGTCCAGGATCTACACAGTTAGTGAAGTGGTAAGTAAAAAAAAATATTAAAACTGTGTCAGAGTGTATCTGGTTTTTTTGTACTTTATATATCTTTTATTGCTTAACCTAATTTTAGTGATTCCCCTTTTAACACTGGACACTAGTACTTTAGATCTTTGAATGTTTACATTTACATTTTCTTTTTTTTCCATCTCTATACAAATAATGTTGGAAGGATCCATTTTCTTATATTGATCTGCATGAATAACTGCTGGATATTTTATACTTCCCCATCAACATTTTATATCTTTTGCCACATTAGCTTTTAATAGTTTTGATTTGATTAATAAGATAATTTTAATAAATTCTTACACTATTTAGTAATGAGATAATACATATATTTGCAAAAAGAACTTTATTATCTGGAAATACATGCAGTCTAAAAATCTTGATTTTTTTTTTTTTAGGATGCTAGGATGCTATGATGCTTTACAGAAAAAATATGTAAGTCATATGTTTATTTATATGTGTGTGTATTTTACTGTTTACATCCTAAGTTTCTAGTAACAATTACCTTGCCTTAAAATATTTAGCTTGTGAAGAGGCCAATCTAAATTACTAAAATGTCTGAACACTTGAATATTTTAAAAACTTAACACAGTCGGAGAAGGAGAAAAAAGGAAATGGGAACGATTGGAATCTTGAAAGACAGGGTAATGGTGAGCATGGTTCAGTGGAAATTAATTTTATAAAGCATAATGAATGGGAATGATTGTATGAAACTATGAGTGAAGGATCGCATCAAACACAATATTTGTGAAATTTGTATGCAAACCAATATAAAATAAAAAATTTTTTAAATATGTTGTTGTTGTTGTTGTTATGTGCCGTC